GTCTTTCAAATGGCATCCTAACTAATTGGTACAATGCAGTGAATGACTGAATGATCAAAGAGAAGTCAAAAAAAAGAAAAGTTCTAGATACCTAGTCTATACGTCTGGTCCTAAGATTTTCAACATAGGTAACCACAAAGCAACTCTGTATTAGCTTTGCTTTTGAAATGGCAATGCAGAAACCAAATGATAACTTGAAAGTGAACTTTTCATAAATCACTGAAGTGGAGCTTTGGCCTAAATCAAGGTGAAAATGTAAGAGGTCTCATATACAACATGCAGTCCCATTTGAAGAAACTCTTCTTGCTCGAAATCTGTCTACAATGACGAGAGGATGGCCTTTTATGTAACATTTGTCAGGGGAGCCAGATTTTAAATCAAGGTGGTCCAAAGATTTACATTTAAATGACTGGCATCCACTTTCCCCTTTGGCAGCAAATACTTTTTTCTCCCTTTTCTGGATTAGATTTGATAGTGAGCTGACCCTCGGTCACTTGTCGTGTCTGACTCTTTGTGGCCCCATGGACTGTAGCCTGCCAGGATCCTCTGTCCTTATGATTGAGGTGCCCATGACATATATGTGAGTTTGCATCAATTTAAAATAATACAGCTGAGTACTCATGGCAATATTAATACGAAAGAGTAAAATTACAGATTTCTTTCCCAAACGACTTGCAAAAACAGTTTCAAAACATTGAGTGCTTTACCTTTTAACTGTCTTTATTTTAATCTCCTTTAATATTTAATGAGGCCAAAATCTTGCCAGTAAGACTACTTGCCAAGTGGAAAATGATTAATTTATAAATATTTCTGGTACCAAAGCCAAAATAGTAGGTGCTCAGCAATTGTTTCCTGAAAGAATGAAGAACTTCCATACTTAGGCTAATGCCACTTAGTTCCTTTACCAATCTGAACTTTCTATAAAGGAGAGCAAATGTTCCTGCATGAGAAAAGAATACAGCCACAAAGTATTATTAAAAATCAGGAAAACATCCATTTTACACAAGGTGGTTAATCCTAACTGCTCCAGATAACCTGCAGTTGACAGAACTGTTAAACGTACCCTTCTGTCTCAACTGAGGGGCTTCCCAGGTGGCTCAGTGGTCAAGAACATGCTTTGCAATTCAGGAGACGTGGGTTCGATCCCTGGGTCAGGAAGATCCTCTCCTGGAAGAGGAAATGACAACCCACTCCAGAATTCTTACCGGGATAATCCCACAGACAGAGGAACCTGGCAGGCTACAGTCCGTGGGGTTGCAAAGAGTTGGACATGACTGAGCATGAACGCAGCTGTCACATTTACAGAAGTTTGATTCCATCTTTAAGAAGAAAAAAAAAAAAAGAAAAGAGTATCCCGCCTGCCTAGTCTCCAAACTCAAAGTAAGACTTTGGTGATTATTTCAATGACACATAAAATGCATGTTTTTTTTTTTCAAGTAAGTAGTTAGAACGAATATTCCTTCTCTCTTCCTGCATGACAGCACCTGAATGAAGACTGGATTTCCAAGTGCTGTCAGCATCCAGCTTCTTCAAAGGCAAGGTCATGAACCCCTGGGTGTGCCCCATGAGGAAGCTGCTCTAATTTGCAGCTTGGAGATTCGAAGGACAGACGCTGGTCCCCTAGTGAAGTCAATGAAACAGAAAACACTGGACGTGTACCACCAACCCCAGAATCTCGCCACTGACAGGTTTCCTACTTACAGAATTCCTTAAAAGTATTTCTGGAGGTAATCTGGGTTAGGGTCAAGTAACTTCAACTGAGGACACATTTCTCACAAGTTTACAAATGCTGCCAAGTGTTGATGAGGCAAGCAAAATGCCACATTTTCATGCAAAGAGAACAGCTATGAAGAGGTCGAATAGGAGACATGCTAAGCCTTTAAGTATGTACCATGTAATCTCCACCTGGGACTTAGGAAGTTGTACCAGTAAGGAAATCATCTTAGATACAACAGCCTTGGGGTGGAGGAGGGGAGGGAACTAAGACTATCTCTTACTTTGAACACAGACTCAAGAGATTAAAGAGTGAATCAGTTAAGGTAAATCATCACAACCACCAACCCTCCCACCCCCTTCAAAATTAAATAAAGCCAGGAACTTCACATGAATGAAAGAATCACAAATTCCATAATCTTCATTAATCCCTAAGTGCATTCATTTGTCAACCAGTCCCATAAGTGATACACTTACAAACACCCTCAAGAAGTAAAAGAGTTATCGTTATAGGGTATGCAAAACAGAAAAAGAGACACAGATGTACAGAACAGACTTTTGGACTCTGTGGGAGAAGGTGAGGGTGGGATGTTTAGAGAGAACAGCATCGAAACATGTATATTATCAAGAGTGAAACAGATCACCAGCCCAGGCTGCATGCATGAGACAAGTGCTCGGGGCTGGTGCACTGGGAAGACCCAGAGGGATGGGATGGAGAGGGAGGTGGGAGGGGGGATCGGGATGGGGAATACATGTAACTCCATGGCTGATTCATGTCAATGTATAGCAAAAACCACTACAATATTGTAAAGTAATTAGCCTCCAGCTAATAAAAATAAATGGAAAAAAAAAAGTAAAAGTACATGCATTTACAGGAACAGGCTCTTCATTTGCTGAGAAACTTCTAATACAATTAAAGACTCAAACAGGGTATCAGTGTCATCAAGTAGTCCTTAGTGGAATTCAGTGTGACTCCACTTGATAAGGTCTAGCCTGTACTAAGGTTAGACAGCCTATGTTTATAATTAAGTAATAATGACTGAAGCTCGAGGTACACAGGGTATTTCCTGCAGATTAATGACCAGGCAGAGGAGGTGCCAACCTAAAGTGATGCCTTGGGCCAGTAACCCCAGCCAGTCATTAAACCCCAAGAAATGCCCTGAACCTCAATACTGATTTTAGTAAATACAGGAGGAAAAAGTTTAATATCAGCTTTGTACTTACATTGAACATGCGTTTCATACTTAGAATGCTCAGACTTCTGAAGGGAAGTCAACAGAAGTTACTAAATAGTTCCCTTAAACTTCTTAATGCTGATGAAAAAAATTTTTACTCTAACATTAGCGAAAGCAAAGAAACTTTTTGTAGTGTTTTAACTGCAAAGGACTTAGCTAAGATACTGTTTGAAAGGCATAGTGATAACATAACCAACATATGGACACTCAAACCTATATTTAACTTGGGAGTTACCTAACAAGAACTCAAGAATAAAAGCATCAGTGTCCAGGTTTGTAGAAATGACTGATCTCACTCAGTTAAAATAAAAGACTGTGACAGAGTGCTGTAATTCTTAGAACAAAACCAAACCAAGGAGACAAAGGTCCCTAATCTTTTGTGGATCTTAAGTCAGGATTCCACGTGACACTAGAGTCAAAAAATCAGTAGACAGATGCCAGGGACCAACTGCTTCATTGTTATTTCAAGCAGATAGGTACTTTAATAAACTCTCTTAGGCTTTTAACTCTTAATTAATCAGGTGCTACTTGAAATCAGGACATTTTAAGGGTTTTACTTTATCAGAAGAATGTGATCATTTATTTCTGCTTTCAAAGAAAAAGCAAATCCAAATTCTCCATATAGGAGAAAGAACTCTCCACGCCATCCTTCCAACTCCCTAAACCACCTCGTGGTCTGTCAGAAACTACTGTGCACTACAAGCACAGAAAGACACATAGCCTCTGGGTCTTGTGTATTTTAGAGAACTCTGGTGTTTATAGTACCATTCACAAACCCTTTCTCAGTTGGCCTTGAGGCTTGCTGATTAGCCAGTAAACGTCTGAAAGGGTCAGTTTATCCAGAACAGGAATTTCCACTTTGGAAAAAGCACAGAGGGTACCTGACATCTGTGCCTTGAAAGGCCTGCCCTACACCCCTGAACTCAGGGCTGAAATTCCTACTTCTGCTTGATGGCAGGGAGGGCCAAGCTGTAAAATCCCAGGGGCTACTCCAGTCTGAAGAAGAGAGGAGGGTCCCCAAGGACCTCTGCTTTTTGGCTCCTACAGCACAGTATCCAAAAGATGAACCTAGCTTTAAAAGAATATGAATATATTCTTCTAGGAAAAACAGTTGACAAATATCCAATTGAACCTCTAATCTCAACCCAGAATTCTAACCACTTAGAATTAAATAACTTTAATGTTCAAACAGCCCCTTATCTTTGTTGAGGATCCTGGAGCCCAGAGAGATGAACTGATTTACTGGAGGTGGCTCAGCTTCTGAGCTAGCTTACTTCAGAGTTCTTTCCACTCTAATCTGCTGTTATCTCAACTGTCTATCTTGCCATCACTTAACTGCGCCCTAGATCAACAGCTCCATGGCGCTAGGAAAGACAGCAAAGTTCCAGTGCCCACACAGCCCAGCACATAAAGCATGCTCCAACTGGGAGGCTGACTGGCAGTACAGATACTATCTTTCCAAACCATCAAGTGACTTAGTTGATGAAAACGACATCCCAAACGGTTGCTTTACATTCAACTACACCTCACAGTATAAACTGGCAGTCACCCACCACTCTCCAAAACCCGCCCCTTACAGGAAGTGGGAATGGCATGTCTGAGTTATAAATAATCATTTATAACTGCGTTTCTACCTTCTTAAGTTAGTGTGAATATGTACTAGAGTATTTTAATGGTTGCTTTATTCAAAGATACTTTAAGTAACTGCTTCATTTAGAGGCACAGTATTCCTGCACGCTTTGCCGTCTAAAACCCACACATTCAACGGAGGGTTGAGCCGACTCTTTTGTTCTGCGAACTCTGAAGTTTTCAGCGTTACTGCGCAGCAGGGAGTGTTAGGTAGCTGGCCCTGTCACAGGCTTTACGGTTAGGTGGAAACTTTCCTGAAAAGCGTCAAGAAAGTTAAGCTTCTAACAGTGAAATCAAATCCGATTCAGCTTATCTGCTACTTTGAAAAACTCCCCCCTGCCCCAACCCAGACCTGCGTGAGCCCAAGTTAGTCTCCAAGTGGTACCAGAGAAACACTTCATGCATAGACTTTGGTTTGGTTACCTGGGTGGGGGAAACAATAGCAGGTGAAACTATTGTGGGAGAATTGCTGCTTCTGTGCCCATTGGCTTCAGGAAGAAGAGGCAGGGGGTCGTGTTTCACCGAAACCACCACCACCGCGTCCACAGGCTCCGAGGGGCGAATACAAAGTCTTTTAGGGGAAGAGGGGCCGCACATCTCCCCCGACCCGAACACCGACTCGTACAGGGCGCGCTTGGGCGCAGCCTCCGATTTCACGTCGGGCCCGACCTGGCTGTCTCTGGGGAGGATATAGGTGTTCCCCAGCGAGGGCGGCTGGGGGCGGTGGTGGTGGGAGGGATGGGTGGGGGGATGGTGGGAGTGGTGGCGAGCCGCCCCGTTCAGAGCCTCGGCGTAGCAGCCCTGCGGGGCGGACGAGCCCAGTTTGGTACCGATGCCGGCGATGCTGTTGAGCGTGGCGATGGAGACGGCGCCGATGCAGTGGTTGGTGTAGGTCTTGGAGAGTTTGGCCGCCTTGGAGAGCATCTGCATCCTGGTGCCCAGCAAGTTCTTGCCGATGGCTTTGTTCTCGTACCAGGTCACATCGCCCTCGCTGCAGTGGTCCCGGGGCCGCTGGAAGAACGCCTTGCACAGAGGGTTGCGCTTCGACAGGTACTTGACGAAGCTGGCGTAGGGGCAGAACTCGGTGCCCGTCTCGTACATGCGCGGCAAGTTCTCCTCGTCGCTGCTCTCGGCGCGCTTCTTGCTCCACGACGACGAGCGCGACTTGTGGTAGGGCCCGAGGGACTTGAAGTAGACGAACTTGCGGCCGTCCTCGTCCATAGCCAGCCCGAAGGAGTCCTCCTCCAGCTCGCGCTGGTTCTCGCGGCCGCGCGTGCAGAAATACATGCACGTCTCGAACCAGACCTTGTTGAGCAGCCCGAAGGGCGTGTTGGTGCTGAAGACGCTGGAGGTGTAGAGCTTGCGCAGGTCTGCACGCGTGATGGCTTGCTTCTGCACCACCGGCCCCGCGCCCTGCTCCTCGAGCTTGCGGATGACCGCGGCCAGCGTCAGGTTGGCGCTGCGCAGCTCCGGGTCCTTGGTGAGGTCGAGCGTACGGCAGTACGGGGGCTCGTTGAGGTAGCGGTTGAGGGAGCTGCGGATGCTGATGAGCGACGACTTGCTGTAGAGCTGGCCGCTCTTGGAGCGGGCCTCGGCGTAGAAGGAGCGCAGCACGCGGCACAGCGCCCCCTTGTCCATGGTCTCGAAGTCCGGGCTCTGCGCCTTCTCGCTCAGGTATTCCCGGAAGATGCGCACGGCGTAGCGGGTGGCCAGCCGGGTGTTCTCGCTCAGCCGGGCCCGCTCGGGGCGCTGCAGCACGTCGGGGTCCAGCTCGGCGCCGGCCCCGGGCGGCCCGCCGCGGGCCCGGGGCGCCAACAGTCGCGGCGGCGCCTCGGGCTCCAGCGCGGCGCTCTGGTCCATATTGATCCTATGGACCGGCTCGGGCTCCAGCTCCTCCCCGGCCGAGTCCTCGGGCTCCAGGGGCTCGTCCCAGTCCAGCCCCATCTCCTCCTCCTCCTCCTCGTCCTCCTCCAGCCCCCCACCTCCGTCCTCCTCCTCCTCGTCCCCCGTTATCTGCACCTCCTGGATCTCGTCCTCCTCCTCGTCCTCCTCCTCCTCCTCGCCCGCGCTGCAGTAGTGCGGGCGGCCGTGGCGGCGGCCGCGGCCCCCCACCCCGCGCTCGCCCTCGCCCCGCTCCCCATTGTTCTCGGCGGCGGCGGCGGCGGCGCTGCCGCCCGCGCTGGTGTTACAGTCCCCGCTGCCAGGCATTCTCGCCATATTGCCGTCTCTCTGCCAGTCCTCGGGCAGGGCGCATGCGCTATATTGGACCGCAGCGCTGAGAGCTTTTGTGTTTAATGACCTTCAGCTACCGGGAGGCAAAGCCGGGCTCTTAAAGGAGCCGCGCGCCAATTGTCAGTTCGGAGCGCGGCTCCGGAGGGGCAGCGGCGCGCGGGGGATGGAGGGGTAGGGAGGCGGGGGTACGTTAGACAGGCAGAGCGTAAGGACCGAGACTGGCTGGACCCTCTTCCTCCCCCACCCCTCTACCCACTCCGAAGAAAACTTCGGAGGGGGGAAAAAAAAAAAAGGAAGGGGAGGGAGAGCTGTCGGTGGGGGTGAAACACTCCCAACTTACCCTCTGGCTGAGTGGCGCTCGGGCCCGGGCGGGAGCGAGGGAGGGCCGGCTGGGAGGGCGGGGCGGTCTCGCTTCTCTAAGTAATGCCCGAGGAGCGGCGCCCCTTCCACCGCCCCCTCATTGCCCCCCGGAGCCGGGGGTTCGGGGAGGCGGCTGCACCGGGCGGGCCGCGGATGCTGCTTCGAGAAGCCCGTGTCTGGGGCCGCCTGGAGCGGAGCGGAGCAGGCAGGTTAATGAGCAGGGTGGAGGAGGCACGACGAGGCCCCGCACCCTCTCTGCGCCCGCGGCCAGGGCGCAGCGGGCGAGGCTTGGGAGCGGGATGGGGCTGGCGGCAGCGGCGGCTCCCCCACCTACTTGCTGGGGGCGAGGCGCGGGGGCCTGGGGCCAGCCGCAAGGCTCCCAGCTCTCTTTCCGACTCTTGCAAAGGAGCGAAACACGCCCCACGTCAGCCTCATCGCTTTCGACTTTTCCAACAGCCACTTTTAAGCTGTCATTAAAGACCTGGGGCGCTCCCCGTAGGTCTGGGGCAAGTCCGCGCCGGTCCAGCCAGCCTGGGGAAGGAGCGAAGGCAGAAAGACTGGGAGGGGCGGGTGGGAGGGGAGACGCGGGGGAGAGGCGCTCGGGACCCCAGGCACCCCTCCCCACCCGCCCAGGCCACCGCCTTCCTGCCTCGAAGCAAACTGACACAACTCCCGCCGGCGAGGCGCTCCACCAGGTCGGAGCGGGCAAGGCCGGTCCCTAAGACCCTGGGGGCAGGTAGGCGGGAAAAAAGTGAACTTGGGTCTCGGCCGCCCCCGCCGCCGCCACGATTCCGGCAATTCGGATCCTGGGCGCGCTCTGGTTCCAAGTTTGCCAACCGCCATTCGTTCGCCCTCGGGGCTGTGCTGCCTTCGGCGCGCGGGGGCGGGCACCTCCGAAACTGGAAAGGCGGCCAGAGAGCTCGCCGGGTCCCGCTTTCCCATCGGAGATACTGTCCCATTTCCAGCCAAACGCCCGCCCACGGCGCGCCCAGGCTCCGGGCACGTCCTTGTCACCGCCTCCAGGACTCCGGGCCCAGGGGCAGCACCCCCAGACCCACCGAGACCTCGGCTCATTTCTTTGGAGGCACAGCCCCGGCCGTCTCCAGATTTTGGAATGCCTTCTAACTTTCTCCTCTTCGGGGAGCCCGAGTGTGTCCCCCTAGCGCGCTGGTCAACTCCGAGTCCCAGGCCGGCCCGCGGGTGAGGCTGCCTCTCCAGCCCTTCGTGTGCGTCCTCGGATCTCAGTCCGAATTCTCAGCACTTGGGCTGCGAGGGTCTACTCAATTGCTAGTCCCCTGCGACAGCCCCCCCAACCCCCACACCAGGCCCTCTGTCTTGCTTTCAGGGCAGTGTATAATCTTGCGCATCAAAAGTAACCCATGCGTCAATTTGTAATTTTTTTAAAAAAGAAGAAAAGAGAAAGGAAGGAAGACTAGGTCTCTGGGCCGCATGGGCGTCTAAACTGGGAGTTGACAGTGTCTCCCCAGCGACCAGCCTCTCCCTCCGCGCGCCTCCTCGGCCCTGGACGCGGCCGCCGAGCTTTGGGGAAACCGCGCCAGGTGTGAACAAGTTAGAGCAAGTCACTGCCTCACGGGCCCCCTCCCGCTCCTCGGGGAAACACACACACACACACACACACACACACCCCACTCTCCGCTTCTCGGCGAAACACATACACACCACACTCTCATGAGCCCTCCTCTCTGCAGAGAACCGTCTGGGGAGTGGGGGGAGCGCTGGAATCCGGAGGTGGCACTCCTCGGGAATCTTCCCCGAGGTGCGGCCGGCTGTGTCCAAACCCCACTGTGCTGGGGATGTGTAGAAAGGAGCCCAAGGCAGCAGGCCGCGAAGCTAGTCGCACCCGCGGACCCGCGCACACGACCTGGCACACATCAGCCGCACCGGCTACTTCCGGAGGGCTGGCCCTTTGTCCCGGGATGCTCCCAGGTTTTGAGGCATCCGGAGCCCTCCGGCCGGGCATTTCAACCCTGCGGAGAATTCTGGTGGGCCCCGGGCAGGCTCCCCGCCAGGGGCTGCTCCCCGCCCGGCGGCCCTCACCGCCGTCTCAGTGAACCCAGGGGCCGCGTTGGCTCGGGGCTGCGCTCCGGGCTCGGCCCGGGGACTCGGACCCACACTCCAGGAGCCGAGCAGCTTCCCAAGGTCTCCCCACTTCTGCGGGCGGCAGGGGTGCCCCCCGCTCCCTCCGCCTCGGCTCCCCTCCCCGCTGGGCGAGCTGCTTTGAATTGCTCGCAGTTTGCCGAAGGCGGTGTGCTGAGTTGGACGCTCCGGGAAACAAAGCAACCAAAAACAGCTCCCAGTTGACGTCAACTTATTTCCAGAAAAGAAAATAGTTTTGTGCTCCCAGGACAAAATCCCCCCCAGGGCAGGTCTCTACTGGCAAAAGCCAGGGGGCGGGGGTGGGGAAGAGCAGAACTAAAAAAACCCCAAGCGCAAATAACTTTTTAACGGAGTTGGAAAAACAGCAGCTTTCGAGGCTGCCTGGATATTTTGCAAACAACGGGCAGGACCCCCGCTAATATTAGATACGAAAAAACGCACCTTGAAAAGTACGCCTTGGCCTGATTATCGGGCGACTGGGAATCGGCTTCGTGGCATCGGCTCCTGAAACGCTACCAAAATTCTTTGCCCATAGAGATACTTCAAATATTGAAAAAGACCTCTTCAGGATAATACTTAGAGTATTTCCCAGGACGAGCACCCAGGAAAACCACGCAGTTATAAACCTGTTCGCCAAGGACACCCTCCCCTGCCCACCCCAAACACATAAACACGGACACCTTCCCCAAATGTTGCTTAATTTTTAAAACCCAATAACACAGAATTACAGCTGAGTTCATAAAGGAGTTCAATTCTAGCTTTAATAAATGATTCCTTAAAAACATCCTGTGGTTCACACACACTCAATTCCAAATTGAGAGGATCAAAAGACCTTTCTTCTTATTATTTTGGTAGCGAAGCAATATTGGTTATCTTCTGCCTATGAGCCCAGCCTCCCTTCCTCCCCTTTGATTTTGCCCTACCATGAAGTCCATTTAGCTCACCACTTGAAACTGACAGCTGCCTCTCCTTCCTTGTAAAGATGGTTATTTCTTGTGCAGGATAGCTTCTACACATAGAAAACATACAACTTCTTCATGTAAAAGACAGTTCCAGCACTGTATAGAGCATTTATTGCAATTATTTAACTGTCAGCTACCCTAAGAGGTTTACAACTTCAACAGGATACTCCACATTTTCTGTCTCTTCATTATCATTATAAAGTATCACATATATATTTGTGCTTCTCCATTTCTTAGATTACTTGAAAGTAGTGGCATGGTTATTTTTGAAGGAAAAATTCCAAACGTTTTCCCTTCATTTTCTAACCCACCTACTTACTCCCATTCAGTCCATACTTTGTGAGTTTGTGCCATAAAGAAACATATTTAACTCTTTGATTGCAGTCTTCTGACCTTATCTGTTATATAATAATGTAGTTGGTTTTTACATGTTTTCTCTCCTATATCTATATACCTTTGTCGTTTAGGCTGGTGCTCGGGACACAGTCAGCACTCCAGTTGTTTACAGTGAATGAATGAATAGGATCTGTGTTTAGTTAGCCTCTGTGTTAAGGAATAAACATTTTGGGGAAAAATCTGAAATATCATGAGTCTGAATTTCTATATTAAAAATTTTTTGTAGGATGAAAAATTACTATAAGACATCATTACTGTTTGCAGTAATATTTACAAGTTAAAGTGAACATAATGACTGCTTTGGTTTAATATTTCCTTGCAATTAATTCCCGCTCTAGTGGACCACATTATAGGAAGTTATTGCAGGAGTAAGGGACTGGGGAATGCAGGTAGCTATTTGTCAAGAGACATGAGCTGGGGAGGATTTAAATGGATAAATTCAAGAAATGTTGTGTTTTCTTGAGGGTGGAGGTCATAAAAAGAAATCAGTTCATCATCGATGGGAAAGATTGAAGGCAGGAGAAGAAGGGGACAACAGAGGATGAGATGGTTGGATGGCATCACCAACTCGATGGACTTGAGTTTGAGCAAGCTCCAGGAGTTGGTGATGGACAGGGAAGCCTGGCGGCTACAGTCCATGGGGTTGCAAAGAGTTAGTGACTACTGAGCGACTGAACAGTCATTTTTTATTTCATCACTGTTTTTAGTTCCTCGTTTTAAAGTCATGCTTTCTTGATTTGATTACTAAAAGATTTATAAAGCAGTCTGGAGGTTAAATGTGAATTCAAATCAAAACTATTTTGACATATCTTTGTTTCAGAGTTTTACTACTGAATTCTGCTGAATTTAATTGAAGATCATCTTGAGTAATGTTTTTTCAAACTCAGATGAAAATAGAGTCCATGTAATCTAACTCTGTGAGGTGGAAGAAAACTCTGTAAGAGCAGAAACTGCGTCCTTTATCACCTCATCTCTGGTTCATTTCCAGTATAGTTCCTTAGTGTACTTTAGCAGAGTGGCTGGTACATAGTAGACACTCAATAAACATACAAACATTTATGTGTGGGGTGAGAACTAACCACCACAAAAGTTCACAGAGCAGTTGTTCAATTGCTAAGCCATGTCTGATTCTTTGTGACCCCATAGACTACGGCACACCAGGCTTCTCTGTCCTTCACCATCTCCCACAGTTTGCTCAAACTCAGGTCCATTGAGTCGGTGATGCCATCCAACCATCTCATCCTTTGTTGTCCCCTTCTCCTCCTGCCCTCAATCTTTCCCAGCATCAGGGTCTTTTCTGATGAGTTGGCCCTTCACATCAGGTGGCCAAAGTATTAGAACTTCAACATCAGTCCTTCCAATGAATATTCAGAGTTGATTTCCTTTAGGATTGTCTGGTGTGATCTCCTTGCAGTCCAAGGGACTCTCAAGAGTCTTCTCCAGCACCACAGTTCGAAAGCATCAGCTCTTTGGTGCTGA